GTATGATGATGTTGGTGATGGTGGTGGTGATGACGGTGGTGATGGTGATGATGTTGGTGGTGTTGGTGATAATGTTGGTGGTGTGATGATGGTGATGATAATGATGGTGATGTGATGATGATAGTGGTGAGATGATGGTGGTGATGGTACTAGTGATGATGGAAGTGGCCATGCTGATGATTATGATGTGTATGTGTGTCAACTTATCATATACCCCCTATAGAACAGCACCTTTTATTCCTGTTTTCCTTTTTCCCAGAATTCTGGACAATTTATCTAATTCCTAACTCACTCTTCAATACCCAGCTCCAGCCTCACTTAGAGCCTCCCTGAGCCCTGAGCCCTCTGTCAGTGTAATGTCACTCCTGTTTTCAGTAAATATTTTCAGTATTTATTCAATTTGAGCCACTTATTGTAGTTCCTGTTTGGGCTCTCCAGGGGATATAACTTACTGTAATCCTACTTATCCTTCCAGAAACTCCATGAGTTTGCTGCCCATAAAGTCCTGCCCAGCTTGAGCAGTGCCCCTGCCTCTGACCAACCTCACTCCTCTCTCTGCCTTGTCCTCTGCTCCACAGCCCCCTGGGAGGTGCACAGACCTGTGTCCCAGTGTGATTTGATTTGAGCAGGACAATCACTTCTCTCCTCCTCCTGAAATTGCTGTGGCCAAGAGGTTTGTGATGAATCTCATGGTATCAAAACCTGTGAGTGATTTATTCTTGTGAATTTGATACATTTCCTTTTTTTTAAATTTCTTTTTCTTTTTCTTTTTCTTTTTTTTTTTTGGTCACATCAGTCAGGAGGCTTTTATAAATGTTTATTTTTTTGTTTTCAAAACTCATAAGCTACTTAAATACCATTATCATTATCCACATGGGAAAAACTATGAAACTATACTTATGTTTACCAGAGACCATTTCTTGATCGTATATGAATTTTACCTATTTTTTAGTTTTATTTTTTGACAAATAATAATTTCATAATTTATAGAGGTTACAATGTGATGTTATGATATATGTTTGCAATGTGGAATTATTAAATCAGGCATTTTTTGAACCTGAGAAATTAAATTGCTATAGGATCTTGATAAGAGACTCAGTATTATTAGAAAGGATAAAATAATTGAAGAAATAAACACACCATAAAATTGCAGGGACATTTCTCACAAATGTTCTACCTTCTATAGAACAGTCAGCATAATAGGACAATTTGTGTGTGCAAGAGGAGAGGTGAAACACTGTCCTTCCTCGTCCCACCCAGCAGGCTGTGCCCAGTCCCCTGGAGGTGACAGTGGGCAGACCCTCCCACACCATCACACTGGATCATGAATTTCATGGTCAACCCACCACATCTTCATGCAGCCTTAGTCCTGGGCAAACCCTCCCACTGTCAGAGGTCAGATTGGATCCTGAGTTACATGATCAACACGCCACATCTTCATGCAGCCTCAATCCCGGCTGAAGAGGTACTACAGACACGGCATCCAGATCACACAAACACTGGGTGACCCCTGACCCCTGGGGACTTGGGAGGTGGCAGGATGGGGAGAAGGATGTGACACAGGCACTTGTTTAAAACCCACCTCATTTTTTCTGTATTTATCATCTCTATTCCTCATGATGCAAGTGAGTGAGTTGCATAGTTTTTTCCAACAAGAGGAACTAGACTGCTATAATTGATTCGTTTTCCTTTACTGAAAACAATGTTCTTCCCCTGCATCTAAGATATCTCCATCGTCGGTGCATGTTGTGTTTCAGCCACTGCTCGATTTAAAACTGCTAGAAGCAAGAGTCTGATGGGTTTGGACTCATCTACTCAGACACCATCCACAGTAATCACTACGCAAATATTTGCTAAACGAGTAAGTGAATAACAGTGTTGCTCTTCATTCAAAATGGATGAGCTGCGTCTCCCCGCCTCCAAGCCACGTCCAGTCCCTGTCCCGGGAAGTCTTCCTCCCTGGCTCCTGCCCTAGAAATCTTGCCCCAGGTCATGGACTTGAATGGAGTAGAACCAACGAGGGCAGGGTCTGGTTTTCCTTCGAAGGCCGCTGGTCTGGGACATCTCGGGGGAGGCCTGGAACTGAGCTCCTCGGCACAGGCCCTGGGCAGCTATGACACCCGCCTGACCACATTTACTCCCTTCTCAGTCATGAGCCTGAGTGAGGGACACCGTCCTGTTCACAGGGGGTCCCTGCTGCAGCACGCAGTACATGCCAGCCACTCTGAGAGACACGCAGGTGCCTCTTCATAACCGAACACGGGCCTCTGCTCCTGGGGTGAAGGGTTTTGTTTGTCTCCACGGGGTTGATGCCACATTCTCAGAAACAGAGACAACATGGGTTCTTGCATCTGACCCGTGGCCCAGGCTTCACCGCTCTGCAGTTGTTCAAGCCCCCCTTCCCATGCTCTCAGTGCTGCTGCCTCGTCCACCATGGCTCCTTCTGTGGGGCAGACCTGGCAGGTGCTCAGGGGCGTGGCTGGCTTTCTAACATGTGGTCAGACGTGCATCTGCAGGGAGGTCCTCGCCCTGTGCCCAGCTCCCACGCAGAGGGGGAGTATGTCCCTCACTGTAGCCATTTGCACAGTCCCCAAGAACTCTGCAGGTGTTCAAGCCTCTGATCTCCGTAACAGAGAGAACTTTGACCAGTGTGTCACGAAGCTCCATAAAGTCTTTCCCACTGCCCACAACAAATCCACCTGTCCACTCAGCATTTACTTCCCTACAATACCCAGTTAGCACCTGTTGAGTTTCAGGCCCCGGACTAGTGACAGTCAGTCAGTCAGTCCATATATGTAAAAGTCAGTGAGTGGTGCCACCCGTGAGGAGATCTCTGCATCGTGGGAGAAGCAGGCATCTTTACAGGTTGCCATAATGCAAACTGTTAATAAATGTGAGACCTTCTCTTAATTTATTAACATCGATAATTTAGTAATAATAACCACAAGACTAAACCTACTATAATATGCTAAGTGTCTTATCACTTCCTTAAATACCTTTAGCAAGAAATTGGACATAAATAAATGCACTAAAATGGTCCCACACAATGAGAGAATGCATTTACCAATGTCTTGGTTGGCCACTTTTGCTGTAGTTATGGGGAAGAAATAATTCATTAAATGGAAACATGGACTAGTCCCAGTCTTCAGTTACTCACCTGACTGCTAGAGTTAGACTCACACAAGGAGCACAGCCAGACTGCAAACACAGCCATGCGCTGGTCTTCAAGCTGGACAAACCACACCTGCTACGCTTTCCCGACAGGCTCTGCCGTGGGAAGACCCAGGGCTCAGCACAGCCTTGCACATTTTAATTTGCGCCACGCTGACTTTACAGTCTTCACTGTCCCGGAGTTAGTGTTATTAGGCACACAAATTTAAGTAAAAACCAGTGGTGCCCAACTGAGAGCAGCATCTCTTCTAGGGTCTGCATAAAGAACTAAGTTGCTACCATGCAACTGGCAAAATAACATGCATACGATAAAGGCATCCAAAGCAAAGAAATATGTGCTACATCCTTATTGGTCTATAATAAGAAATCTCCGAGGCTAGAGAAACTTCTGCACATGTTCACACACACCCAGGCACCTGCACCCCAGAAAATGTTAGGGCCTGGGGTGGGGGCTGCCCTCCCAGCACTGGTGGAGGATGAGGACCCAAAGAACCGGCACCAGGACCTATAAGTCACTGAATCTCCAGAAGCGCAGATCAAAGCCGTCACACTATGCTCAGGTTTCTACCAGGTTGAAAAATGGACGTTCTCTACTGTGAACTGCCTACGTCCAAGTAACAGCCCAAATCTCACATTGCCAGGCCATATGCTGCAGTGAGAGTATGACCTGGAACTCTCAGGACCAGCTGTGTCAGCTCTGGGCCACAGGAGATGACAGCTTTGTCCTGGCAGACACAGCACCAAGCCAGTATCATCCGCACCATGGACAGTAACCGTAGGTGACTCCACCCTCGAGTCTGAGTGATGCCTTGTGGCGTCCCAAGCAGGTGAGCAGATGCTCAGTTTTGATTTCACTTTAATCTCAGCAGGGAGGTGGGAGCCGCATGCAAGCCCCAATGTCTGCGGTCAAACTGGTCATTCCGGGGGTTAAGCAATCTGCAGACACCAAGGTTGGGGCTTTGTTTAACCTCGTTCGAGATGTTCCATAAACACAGAGCAAGGTTTCATTAGCTCCTTGAATACTTCACTAGAAATTTTCAACACATGATTGAAGTCATATAACCAGAGTTCCGAATAACTGTGCTGGCCACGTGCAGAATGAAAGCGTATTTAAAACAGCCAAAGTATCTCACCGTTCCCACTTAGAGGTACCTTTGATAAACATGGGTATTTTCTCCCTCACACACCCAAATCTATATAGAGAAATTAAATACACAAAAGAGTGCACCGGTCCTGTACCGGTCCAGTACCTGTCCATGAGATATCTAATCGCTGCGCATCTCACTAAAAACTCAAATAACTATGAATTCAGTGTCTTGCATAAGCCAAGCTCTGAGCACAAACTTTTGTCACTGTCATGACTGCCTGTGGATGCACAATGCATCCTGGTAGCCCTGGGCTGCCATGTGCTCTTGATCTTGCAGCATGGACCAGCTCCGGCAGTGAACAGTTTCCTCAACATCACGTCCACCATGCTCGAGACCTTTCCTCATGTTGTTTAGTCACAACAGCTTCCTTAAAGGACTAAACACTGCCAGACGCTCGAGACACATAAAGTGGTCATTTGAGTTCACAGATGGAACAAGAACCAAAACAAATTCCTCAAATTTACAATAGTTTCAACTAAATTTAGGGACCTCAACATTTTCTGTATATTTTTACATCAGATATCCTTTTAAAAATCACACAAATCCCTCAAAAGTGGCGAATGACAAGTTCTGCTTTTGCACTGTCTCTCAGATAAGAATCACCAACATCAATGTTAACCTGTATATATTCTCTTCTTTGCAGAAATAAAAGGAAAACAAAACATACAGAAAGTTTCGTACCTTTGAAGAAGGTCAGTCCAAGCAAGTTTCCTTTGATTTTAGTCAGTTTCAGCTCCATGGATGAGGGCCGACCTTCTACACATGTCCTTTGGGAAATGGGAGGTAAGGATCCCACTAAAGTGACCCCTAAAGTGATTGATACACAAGAAAACAAACTTTACCGTCGTCGGCGTGGACGGAATCACCAACAGAAACGTGAAGGGGTTTGTATGACTCTGAGCCACGAGGACCAACAGGCTGTATGTCCTGCAGCTCACACAAGGCGCAGCTGCGTCTAACCAGCACGCATCACACGGGAACGTGCAGTCACAGATGGCAGTCTGTGGGTTTAAACACCTTGGTAAAAATATAGTAAGTTCTATGTAGAGCCAATCATTTTATTGTTATTGCCCAAATTCATTAAAAGAGGGTAATTTCCATAATACATATGAAAATATCATTTTTAGAGAGCCACTCATACACACCCCTATAAATGTATAATTATGTATTAATCAATAACCCAAAATTATTCAAGGTACAATGATACATATTGTAAATCAAATATAAAGTAAAAATTGGCATTCTCAAATGTAAATGAAACATTTTAAGATATACTATATTTTGAGGGGGATAATAGAATACATACCTATACACACAGAAATGCATATATACACACACATATATTCACACATACACACAGATGCATACACATGAATACATATATGCACACATACATAGATGCACACACATATAGGCACATGTACACAGAAGCATATACACATATATGCACACATACACACTGATGCATATATACATACACAGATACACACATATATGGACATGTACACAGATGCACATGCACATATATGCACACATACACAGAGATGCATATACACATATATGCACACATACACAGGGGTGCATATGCATGCATATATGCACACATACACGCAGATGCATATACACATGCATGCACATGTACACAGATGTATATAAACATATATGCACATGTACACATATGCATAGAGATGCATATACACACATATGCACACATACACACAGATGCATATGTACACATACACAGAGATGCACACACATATACACACATATATAGATGCATATACACACATATATATACATATACACAGACGCATATACACACATGAAATGATGTCTGCTTCTTTCTCAGTGTAATGCAGCATAATAGTGTCAATTTTTTCATATTGTCTCTTTTTAAAAAATTGAAAATGTTCATCACAAAATAATTATATGGCTTATTTTAACTGGCAAATTTAGACTGACCAAATGTGGTTTAAGTCACGTGAACTTCACATATGTAGCTGTGAACACACAGCAGCGTGGCCTATTAGGAAACACACACAGGCTGAATCATGTGAACTGCAGCTCTGTCAGTGTGGATGGTAAGTCAATCTCTCTGCTACACATGTCCTCATCTGCGAAGCTGGAATCTCTCTCTTGTGCAGTTTCAGATATTACTGAAGCCAAAAAATGTGTGGATGATAATTTTTACCATATAGGGGGTTTCCAGCAAACTCAATGAGACGGAACCTGGGGAGCCCCTGACACAGCACGGGCGCCATGAGCACAGTGGACATGAGCCATGAGCCCCCCTAATCTCTGATCCACGTACAGCAGTGTTTTGAAAAGGCTGTTTAAATCATGAAGTGCCAGGCGCATGTCAGTAGCTGACACTCTCCATTAGGTTATCTTGTGTTGTTTTTATTAGGAACCTATCATTATTTTATCAGAATATTAAAAATCATATTTTTATAGTACATTTGCCAAAAAGGAACCATAACTTAGAAGAGCCTCAAGATACACACAGTGGCCTGCTAGGCTCACTGCTGCTGGGATGGGGAGCGGGGTTGGGTGGGGGTTGGGACAGAGGTTGGACCAGAACTTGGGGGGGAACACTGGTCCTGGGGGAGGAGTGTGACAGAGGGGGAGCCCAGGCTGGGCAGAAGGGACCGGGCTGGGGGGGCCGGGCAGGGGAGGGCTCAGGCTGTGCAGAGCCCTGGGGGAAGGGCCAAGAGTAGGGCAGGGGTCTTCAGGCAGAGCCTCAAGGGCCTCACAGGCCCTGCTGGATCCCATCCAAGAGTGCTGGGAGCCCCTGAGGACTTTAAAGGACTTTAAAACTGCAGAGGGCCCTGGCTGGGTCAGACCATCCCCATAAGGACCATTCACTAGAAAGACCACGAGTTCTGTTTTCCCCTGACTGCAAGAGACCATTTGGATCATGCTGGTGGGTCTGCAGTTCTCCCTGGACGTAAGGAAAACGGCTCCTGTCCCCTCCCTCCTGCCGGTAGCAACCTGAATGAGAACAAGAATGAACATCTGCACCGAGCAGGACAAGGGAGTGCAGTTTCCAAGGCTAACTGCGTGGGGCTGGGGGAGAAGGGTCATTATCATGAGTTTCCTGGCAATGGGGAAGAGTGAGGGGCAGAGTCAGCGTGAGTCGGGGCCCTGCCAGGACACAGGCACCCCCAGATGGTGGATCTGGGCTGGGGCACCTGGAGAGGGGGAGCCCTGGAGAAACCCTGACCGTGGAAGTGCCACAGGTGAGGAAGGTGAGAATGGCTGGTGTAGTCCAGCTATTTCAGAGGAAAGGCAACAGGATTTGCTGACTCCCTGGTGGTAGCACTGAGGGGGAGGAACCCATGGCAGCACCCAAGTCTGCGTCCTATGACAGAAGAGCACTGCTGTCCCACAGCACGAGACCCTTGAAGATGGCATGATGTGAGGTAGGGTCAAGGAGGTGGAAAAGCCATGGTGTGATGAGGAGCACAGAGTTGGCAGCCAAAGAGCCCCACAGATGTCCACTAAATCCCCGGATGCCCAGCGAGGTGTGGAGCTCAGGGAGCGTTCACAGCTGGACACGCAGGCCTGGGATTCAGCGACACAGAGGTCACGGCTACCTCCAGCATCCTTGACGGATTTGCCTGGGCAGAATGTGGAGAAACTCAGGCCCCAGCGCTCCAGCAGAGTGACGCAGTCTAAGCTGACAGGACCTGAGAGGCAGTGGCCAGACCCAGACAGAGGCCGGCTGTCCCCAGTGTCATTGCTTCTCCTGCTCCTTAGCAACAGCCTGGCATGGACACAAGCCCTCAGCTGGCCAGAAAACAAATGGCTTTGCCAAGTGTCCTGGCAGCTGGTTGTGGCCGCGTGACTCAGCTGCAGACAGCAGGGCCAGCAGAAGCCATATGAGCCACACTGTGGACGCGTTTGGGGACTGGCTGTGGTTTTTCTTATCCTCCCTGTTTCTTCTGGAACACGAGTATCTTGACCACAGCTCAGCCATGTCCCAGCCATCTGAGACCATGTGGCGGGAGGGCAGAGGGCTGGCAGCAGCCTGGTCAGCGTGGGCTCAGGATGCCATGTGTATGTGTGTGTGTGTGTGTGTGTGTGTGTGTAGGTGCACGCATGTGTGTGTATGAATACAAGCTTGTGCTGGACATAGTGTTCCTCTCACACTGAGCCCATAATCTAGTGAGCTAATAACTGATTCACCGGGTGTGTAATAAGAGTCTACGCATACAAACGAAAGCATATTAGCTCAGTAGTTTGGACGTTGCAACAATCGGTAAACAAACAAGCCTGAGTGAGAGTAAGGATGGTCATCTGTACCCCTGTAGCACAGACTGAATTGGCATCAAACCCATGTTGGTGCAGAGGATGCTAATAAATACCTTTAGACCTGCAGGATTCTGGCATCTGGCCCTCAAGAACCACTTTCATGGAAGGTACACATAGTGTAGTCATAAAATTAAACTACTTCAAGGTACACAAATGTGTGTGTATCTGTGTATGTATCCTTGTGTTTCTGTGTGTCTGTGTTCATGTGTGTGTCTGCCTGTATATGCATATGTGAGTGTACATGTATGTCAATGTTCCTATGTGTCTGTTTGTATGCATATGTGTATCTGTGTCTGTGTGTGTCTCTGTATGTGTCTATGTTCATATGCATCTATGGTGTTCAAGTGTGTGTGTGTGTGTCTGTGTATGAGCATGTGTCTACATGCATGAATCTGTGTGTCTATGTTTGTGTGTGTCTCTGTATAAGTGTCTCTTTGTGTATGTGTGTCTGTATCTATATCCATGTGTGTGTGTCACTATGTGTGTATGTCTACATGTACATGTGTATATATAGTAACATGGGTCAGCTGTAACACAGAGAGATGTGTGAGATCAAGTCTTATGATGCTTTACCCAAATCCTGTCCTCTGCATCGTTATAACCTACCAGGCACGACAGGCGCTGTGCGGTCTCATTGCAGAGTCTGTGCCCTACGCAGGATGGGAGAGGCACTTTCTCCCCACACGCTCTGATGGCGACACCGCCGGTGAGCTCCGCATGAGGGCAGAGGATAAAACCACTCCAGGAACAATAAAAATCGCCATAGGATTTTTACTTCAGAATCATTTCTCTAAAACAGGAACTAAATTCAATTGAAAATATGCTCAATTTTTCATAGGGCAACTTCACTGAACACAGATGTCGGGAGAGACGCAGAGACCCAAGCATCAGCACACACCTGGAACCTGCTTGCGCTAAGCCAAGCACTGTCAGGTGCGTCAGTGAGCAGCCTGCAGGGGAGCTTCTCCCAAAGAGGACAGAGCATGGTCATCTGTGGAAAGACACCTTCGGTCCTCGCACACACACACGGCCTTGGACTCCAGGCTGGGCAGTATGTGCGCAGCACGGCAGACGGGGGGCGGCAGACGGGGGGCGGCAGACTAGCATCGGCACCGTGGAAGACTCACCCCAACACCAGCCAATGGGTAAAACTGGCTCGACACTCTGCAAGAGGCAGAAGAATCTTGCCCGAACTCGAAGGCACAACATGGACGGGACTGCTCAGAACCAACCGAAACACCAGCACCTTCCAACAAAACTGGCAGCAGCAGAAGTTGCTTCCGCTCCTCACTGACACACAGTGCCCAGGTCTGCGAAGCCCATGCACAGGTGGCGCACTGGCCCTGCACGCGCTCTCCCAGGCTGTGTGCAGGGCATCAGCAAGGAGCACAACGCTTCTCCAGACGTGAGTCTGTGAATGCCGTGATCTCTAGTGAGAGCCAAGCGTCTCACAGTACAGGGTCCAAAATGCTTCTTTAAATGAGGCGGCACCA